GAAAAAAAAAAAAAAAAGCATCACAGATGAAAAAAATATATAATCTCACAACCATAAAACAATTGCAGTTTTGAAGAAAAAGAAGCCCACAACAAGGTAAACATCCAACAAATAGTAAGTTGTATAATAATGAAATTATCATGAGAATAAACAAATAATTAAAATAAAAAATCATATATTATTTAACATTTTGTTATATACAACATTATCAACATTCATTAAAGTTGTGAAGTCTATACAATCGAAGCGACAAATAGGAAAATCGGCCCTCCACTTGCGAAACTTTGTTTGGCCGTGAATAATAAACCTCCAAGTGCAAATCGTCGATTTTGTAGACTCCATTAATATTGCGTTCGACTAGGTAGTTTCTAAAGATATAAATGCAACCTTCTTCGAAATCGACGATTAATTGTGGAATATTGAAGGGGTGGATGATGCCACTAATCCGTCTGTCTCTAATAAAGTACATATTCAATTCAATAATTATGAAAAAGAATGCAGTCAATATAAATGGGTTAATTTAAATAATAATATAACTATAAAATACCTCATGATCGTGAAAGATAATTTCAATAACACTTTTGTAAGTGTGTTCGTCTTCTATGCATTTGAACATTATAAAGATGCATAGCTTGAGTAGAGGCGTATTATTATTATTATTGTTATTATTATTATTATTATTATTATTATTATTATTATTATTATTATTATTATTATTATTATTATTATTATTATTATACTTTTTTCCGTAATGTGGATGCCTTTATATTGGTTTTTTGGTGTGTCTCAATATTTATTTTTATTTTTTTACATGAAATTACCATAATGAAATTACTGTATCTCGGAAAAATAATATGAACAAATATTTTGATATAAGGTGTGTGTATTGATTTTTTTTATATAGAAAATGCTCTGGTCAATTTTTTATTTGTATAATTAGTGGGTCTCAATTTAATTCATTTTTTGTTACGACATTTTAAATAATTTTAATGTGAAATGCATTGTTCAAATCTTACAACATGATTCAGAGTGTCTAAATTTTTTTAGTATAAAAAGTCGGAACAATAACATGACTGATTATTTTAGAATAAATGTATGTCTCCATTTTTTTTTTTGGGTAAACTTTGGATTCGATATTTTTGGTATGATAAACAAAAATAATAATATGACCAATATCTTTTAATATAAATGGCTACCAACTAGATCTTACAAAAAATGGTATTGTATAACATATTAACCATTCCTTAACAAAAAAAAATTCACAATTTCCTTTCATAGTGGCCAAATTGATTAAACAACTAAACAACTCTAATACACAAATATCATTCATTCAATCAAAATTTAACACCATCTCTCATCCACCTCATTTTTCCACTAAATCTCTCTCAATTTAAACACACACCCACATTCTATCCATTCATTTAAATACATATATGGGACCAATTATCACTCATTTAATATAAATTTTTATATTTTATACTCAATAAAAATAAAAATTTAATATTTTTAAATTATAACAATAAATTTTAAATACATAAAAATAAAAGAACACTATGAGACCAAAATAACTTAAATTAAGATTACACAAAAAAAAAATAGTAGAATTATAAAAAAATATGATATAGATAAAGTTTGAATTTATCATACCGGGAAATGTGATATAGATAAAAAAAAATTAAATACAAACAAAAGATAAAGAGCTTGAATAAATAATTAATTGAAAACCAACAAAAAGAAGAAAAAAAAAAGCAATGAATGGCAGCATGTTGACGCCCAAATGAAAAAGACAATAATGGACGAGGTGCATCCATCTTGAACGCCAGCGTGGCGTTTAAATGCCTAAATAAATGTGGCGTTGCAGATCGACAATCTCAGAACTTGTTTAAATTCTGAAGGAATTTATTTTGGTCACCCATTAAGCAGAATTCAAGTTACAACTTACAAAAACTAACACGATCACAAAAGAAAACTACTTCGCAGGTACAAAGAACATTCTAAACAAGACGCAAAAAATTTAGAACAATTAATCTACCTCATAGACTAAATTTCACATTCCTCAGCAAAAACAAAACAAATTTTGCAGAAAATGATATGTATATTAAAAAGAAAAATACCACAACAAATGGAGTGGATCTAAACGGCGAGATAACAGCTGGCTGACTTGCGTTAGGATCCTGAAAATAAGCAGCACCATTTGGGTTAAAAAATTAGCAGTGCCTTGTTGGGGTTCATAGCCAAACGGTTGCTGTACGAATTGAACGGCCACTGGCTGCGGCACATACGCCGAACCAATTCCCGGCGGCGGATGAGGCTGGCTTCGAAAAAATTTGAGGTGGGAATCAACGTTGGCTGGCTGATAGTAATTGTGCTGCGGCACATACGGCGGATCAATTCCCGGCGGCCGCGGCTGAGGCTGGCTTTGAAACAATTTTCACTGAGGAGCAACTCCGGCAGGCTGATAGTAATTGTAATTGGAGTTGTATGTGTAATGTAAGAGACATTCGGTTGTGGACGGATAAAGATTAGGGTTAGGGTTTTGGGGCATCTTGCCACCGTTAAAACCAAAATCCATCTGGGACGATTTATTTATTTATCTCCCTCTATATTATCCCTCTACCCTTGTTTGCTTTTCAGGATGGGATTGGACTAATTTAGTCCAATTGGGAAGGATTGTACTGTTGGGTTAAGGGGTAGGATAAGTTTAGATTAAAAAATAAAATAAAAATGTGTAAGTGGTTTAAAATACTGTTATACCCCCTTTTCATAATTGAAAAATAAAATACACAGGTTTGGTATTACACATACCATGATAGTTGATATCCCACCAAAAAGGTGGGATTGAGTTGTCCTATTAAAGCAGTTATAAATGAGGCCTAAAAAAACAGTTATATGACAGTTATTATTATTATTATTATTATTATTATTATTATTATTATTATTATTATTATTATTATTATTGTTATTGTGGTTGTTGTTATTATTATTATTATTTTATAATTGTACTTTTTTCTGTAATGTGCATGCGCTTATATTGGTTTTTAAGTGTGTCTCGATTATTATTTTAATTTTTTGTATGAGATTACCATAATGAAATTATTGTATCTCGGAATAATAATATGAACAAGTATTTTGATAT